GAGTAGTGACTGATTATTTTCTTCATTTGCCAACTTTAGAAACATCTAGAATAATGATAATAACTATGACCCTACCAATGATGCTAATCATACTCGCATTTAGTGACCACATTCTGGGCAATGAGGTGCTAGGTATTTTTCAAGTATTAGTTCATTTGCTTTCTGTAACAGCCTTCTGAGAGATACTATTATAATCCTGAATGGTAGGTTTGTAAAATTTGAGTTCATGAGAGGTTAAATTACTAGCTAAAAATCACACCATTTTCATTATAAGTTCTGTAAAGGCCAGAACCTAGTTAATGATAGAGGTGGGACACAAAATCTAGACCTTTCTTTAAAGCTTAAGACCTTTAACCCTATAGTCTTCTAACTTCTGTTTGGCATGTCTTAGGATCTATGGATTGCTATAATGTAATACAATAGGCAGATTGGCTAATTAGCAACAGACAGCTATTTTTCATAGTTCTAGGGGCTCTGAAGTCCAGGTTCCAGGCATCTCAAGTTTCCGTCTCTGATGAGGGCCTACTTCCTGGTTCATAGCTGGCCATCTTCTATGTTTTCTTACACAGCAAAAAGGCCACTGAATCTCTTATAAGGGCATTAATCCCATTCACAAGGGCTCCACATTCATGACCTAATCACCATCCAGAGACCCCGTTTCCAAATACCATCACTTGAACAATTAGGTTTCACTCATGATTTGGGGCTTCAAGGTACAAACATTCAGCACACATGATCTTACACCTTGTGAGTTTTATCAAAAAAATCTCTTTAGTCCACCTACTTTCTCCACCACTATCACTCTAATAACAAATGTCATCTTTTCTGAAAGATTACTGTAGCACTTTCCTATCCAGTCCACATTCATTGATTTTGGCTCTACTTCTAGTCCATTTTCCACATTAGCCAAAGGGAAACTTTCAAAATATGTCTGATTATGTTGCACCACCTATTGAAAACACTTTCCTGCCCCTTCCCTTGTATTCTCTTCTGCAGTCACATAGGTCTTCCTCAGTTTCTCAAATGCACCATGTGCATCTCACTCATAGCGCCTTGGCACATGCTAGTCCTTCTGTCTGAAATGTTTTTCCAAACCTCCCTATACTCTTTAGCCTAATCATCACCATCCTTCCCACACATCACACTTCAAATGTCACTTCCTTAGCAAAGTTTTCTCTGATCTATGAAATAAATTATTTCTCCTCATTAAAAGCCTTCATAACAACATTTGACTTTTCTTGGAGAATAGGGATACATAAGTGTTGATGTGTGGGTGGGTGTGTTTATTTATTTGAGAGGGTTAAAGAGAACAAGCATGTTCCCATACACTGGTTCATTGCTCAAGTTCCTACAATGGCCAGGGCTAGGTCAGGCTGAAGCCAGGATGTGAGAAAATGTTTTAGGTCTACCACATGAGTGACAGGAGGCCAAGAATCATCACCATTACCTCCAGGGTCTTCATTAACAGGAAGCTGGAGTCAGCAGCCAGAGCCAAGAATTAAACACAAGTACCAGGGTGTGAGATTTGGGCGTCTTAAACACTAAGCTAAATACCCACTTTGTGTGGCTTTTTGATGAACATCTGATTTTCATTATAAGTTCTATAAAGGCCAGAACCTAGTGAAATTTTGTTATCATTGTAGTTCCAGTGCTTAGGAGCATCCTAGAAATATTCCAAAGTTCATGGAAATGTATATTATGAAGGAACTATGCATAGATAGTAAGAGTCTTATCAAACTCATTATCTTTTACTTCCATTCCATGAACTTTTGAAATACCTTCATATTTGGTGTGAGCTTGATTTCCAAACAGTAGTCATTAAAATGGAGCTTCAACACCTTTCCCTGTGGTATGAAAAATATATGCCCAAAAATGAACATATGGACTATTGCTCAAGCCACCAGTTAGGAAATCCACACCTATAATGGAGTGCCTGGGTTTAAAACCCACCTCCAGCTTCTTATTCCAATTTACTGCTAATGAAGTCTCTGGGAGTTAGCAGTGGTGACTCAAGCAATTGTATTCCTGTAACTCACATGGGTGACCTGGATTGAGGTCCTGACTCCCTGCTTTGTTTTGGCTCAGTTCTGGCCTTTGCAGGAATTTCGGAAGTGAACCAGCAGATAGGAATGTGCTTGCTCTCTCTCTCCCTCTCCCTCTCTCTCTAGAACTTAAAAAGTATAAAAAAGAGAAAAAAGAAAAATCCCCCTTTTTTTTACAGGCAGAGTGGACAGTGAGAGAGAGAGAGAGACAGAGAGAAAGGTCTTCCTTTGCCGTTGGTTCACCCTCCAATGGCCGCTGCGGCCGCCAGTGCACCGCACTGATCCGAAGCCAGGAGCCAGATGCCTTTCCTGGTCTCCCATGGGGTGCAGGGCCCAAGCACTTGGGCCCTCCTCCACTGCACTCCTGGGCCATAGCAGAGAGCTGGCCTGGAAGAGGGGCAACCAGGACAGAATCCGGCGCCCTGACAGGGACTAGAACCCAGTGTGCCAGCACCATAGGCGGAGGATTAGCCTATTGAGCCGCGGCGCCAGCCAAGAAAAATCCCTTTCAAAAAGTCTAAAATTAGCATTGTGGGTAAAGCCTCTGCCTGCAATGCCATCATCTCATACAGATGCTGGTTCCTGGCCCCGCTGCTCCACCTCTAATATCAACACCCTGCTACTGGCATGGGAAAAGCAGTGGAAGATGGCCCAAGTGCTTGGAACCCTGCTACTCACAAGGTGGACCTGGAAGAAGCTCTTGGCTCCTGGTTTCAGCCTGGCCCAGCCCTGGCTGTTGCAGCCATCTTGGAAGTGAATCAGCAAATGGAAGATTTCTCTCTCTTCTCTCCCTTTCTCTCTGTAACTCTGGCTTTCAAACAAATAAATAAATCTTTAGGGGAAAAAAAAGGTCTAAAATGTACTTATCCCTTCTTTGGAGGACAAATTTGAGGTGAGAGTGGAAGTTATGCTCAACAGGGAACCAATGCCAGCCAGACAGCCATATGTTCCTGCCTGTCTGAGTCTGGGAAAACAGAGGTTGGGTCTAATAGATGAGTTTTAGCTGGTGGGAGCAATGTTTCAGGGTTGTTTTGAGTGATCACTATCAGGTATGTTAACCCAAGGAAGTTAACACAGAGACTATCAAGTTGGTAGAGTATCTTCCCACCTCATTATTCCAAAGCCAGCAGGGAACATTGGTTGGGAAGTTTGGGATTGAGAGGGAGAACTGTTGGCAGGCCTGGAAGTTCGGACCCCAATCTGCTGGTCATTGAACAGAGTGCTGATCTGAGATACCAAGGGATGGGCTTTGATATATGATGGGTCAGTTTCCAATTTTTCAACTTTACAATGGTGCAAAAACAATACATGTTTAGTAGAAACTCTGGTCCTAATTCTGAATTTTGCTTTTTCCCCAGGGCTAGTTCTATAACTCCTGATCCTCTCTCCTGATCCTGGGTAGCAGCAGTAGGTAGGGCCCACAGCCAGGAAGGGAAGCAACTGCCATTCTACAGGGCATTGTGTTGCTGAGCTGGGATGTTCTCTAAGTTAGGTGTATTCCAAGTGTTTCTGACTTAATTGTCTCCAACCTAAGTTGAGTTTATTGGGACATGAAAATAAGCATCACTAGGCTCTAGTGGTTATCTCTACAGGGCGCTCTGGGGAGCCATTGTAAATGTTCCCCTTGGGCAGAGGCAAGGGCATGCACTGATAGTGACCCACTTCCTGATGTACCAAGTTCTGCAACTAGAAATTTATTGGTCTCTACACAAAGTGCATACACAAGGAAAGAACACGTTGGGTTGGTTTACCGATTCATTTCAGATGTTACTATTCTGATTGGGTCCAGAAGAAAGAGATTTGAAGAAAATGGAAGAATAACTAGCAGGAATATTGGCAGCAGGTGAGGGAAAGGCAGGCAGCAAAGAGAAACTTCATCCACTTTGTAAACTGGTCCTTGCATTCAGCAAAAATTTAGGAGAATAAAAAATGTTTTGCTCACATTGAAGATTCGAGGGGGTGGTCATTATTTTTAAGAGAATTGCAACATCCATCATTTTAGCTGCAATAATCCTGTAGAACTTGTACTTCGTTGTTGGTGAGGAGAGACTATGTTTGACTGTGCTTGGAAACCATAAAGCCACAACAAAATTAATTCTCCTGAATGCCACTAGGCAACACCGGGATCTCTTTTGCACGAAGAGGCCTTGTGGTAAAAGATTTAAAAGGCTCCACAGGGCAAAGCACTGAAAAACTTAAGGGTGTGGTTTTTAGCATCATCTTAATAAATAATCAAGCATTAATACCATCCAGGTGTCAAGTGCCTTCTCAGGACATCCAAGCTTGATAAAGAACAGTAACAAAAATCTATAAAGCCTGAGCAGCCTTCCTCAGATTGGGCTCTTTGCTACTGATTTGACAGCCCTAAAGGTCAGCTGTTAGGATCTTCGTGGAAACTGATTTAAAAGAAGCCTGCGGACCGCGGCGTTCCCTGAACTGCATCATATCCTTCCTGGGATCATCAGGGAACCTCCCAGCCTTCCGAGCTAGGCTCTGCTCACGGAGGTCACTCGGGCAGTGGAAGCCTTGAGCAAAAGTTAGAGGCCAGAGACGCGCAGCTCCTGAATTCAGGCAGCAGGGGCAGCAAGTCCTGGCACTGGGGGCAGCTGCCTCCCACCTCCACCACAGCGGCGTCCAAGCCAAGGCTTGCAGAGAGGGTAGGTCACACGCCGCTTTGCGCTCCTAGCAAGAACTGGAGGCCACTCAGGGAGGCAGGGGGACGCCTGCGGGCGAGCCAGGTCCCCGCCCCCCGGTTCCACCAGGGACAGGCGCATCTCCGGGCTGGGACTGGGCGCAGGGCGCCGGACCGGAGAGGGGGTGTGGCGGGCCCTGGTAGAGCTGGGCCTCTGCCCAGAGGCTGAGTCCGCCTGGGCGACCTTCCCCTCCTGCAAGAGCAGTGGCTGCGGGGCGCGGGAGCGGGGGGAGGCCTCACCCCACGGCGTGCAGCGGGAGGAGGAACCGATCGCGCAGGGAGGGGAGGGCGACGGAGCAGGCGAGCGCAGGAGGGAGTGTGAGCGAGCCAGCCGGGGCGAGCTGGCCCCGAGCGGGGCTGGGTTTGTTGTACTCGGTCTCCAGGGCGGCCGGGCTCCCCGCAGCCCTGCAGACCGCGCCCGAGCCGGGGTGGCAAAGCCGACGCACCCCCACCACGGTCCCGTGGAGCCCGGGCGCGCAGCGAGCCGGGAAGGAGGCGTTTGCTCGTTCGTGTCTGCTCGGAATCTGAACGAGGCCGAGAAAGAAGGTAAAAGGACCTAGAGAGACAGCGAGGTGGTGGGCGAGAGACAGATTGTGGAGAAACAGGTGCAAGACGAACAAATGGCAGAGAAATTGTAAGCAAGTTTGTGCCTGCACGCACAGGCTGGGCGCCCTGCATGGGAGGGAGGGGGTGACGGCAGTGTGGACGTGTGTGATGCTCACGGACAAGCGGATAAGCGGGTTGGGGAGCCTCCTGGCATCTCTTACATAGATATCCTATTAATACCCACTCTGAGTATTTCCGCCGGTGGCACAGCCCGGCCTCCAGTGTTGCAGAAGCAGAAGGCAGCCACCCTCTTACCGCAATGGTCGGTCCTGTTGCTGCTATCTGATGGGAGATGTAGGGCGTTAAACATTCCGGGAGCCTCCCTTCCTCCACCCGCTCCCCCTCCCCCCGACTACTTCAGGGAGGGCTGGGGGAGGGAGGATGGATACCAGAAGGGAGGGCTCCCAGCTGCGCGGAGGCCCCGCGCGGTGGACTGCTCTGGCGCTGCCATGGTGCAAGTGCGTCCAGGCGAGCTTTCACTAGAGGGCAAGATAACTTTCATCTCCTCTCCAGAAAGACATGTTTCAGGGATGTTGCCGGAGGAGTTCTGGGATATGGTGGCCCACAGGGAGCAGGTGCATCTCGCGGTGGTAGGAATATAGTGCAGAACGTAGCCCGTCGGCCGCAAAGGCTGGAAACCCCGGGTTGGGTGCCGACTGGGCTGCCAGCCTTTGGATGCTGGAAGTTCAGGGCCTCCTCCATTAAAAATGGGACCAGCCTAGGGGGAGAACAGCTCTGAATCCTTCACATTCTGCTCATTTCTGAGCATGTGAAGTGCAGAACTTTTACCTGAAAATTTTCTGTGAATAATTAGCTCAAAAATAACTATTTCTCTTTTTAAATCCCCTTTTGTTTATCGCGATATGAGAATTACTTCTTGAAGGCAGCCTTTGTATACAGAAGTCACACATAGAGGGTGGAAATCATAATGCTCGATTGCAAAGATTATCAATATGACCTATGTCTCCCCAAAACGCTCCTTTGAGTCTTGATCTACTCTTTAATAGGCTTTATATTCCCCCAAATATTAGTGGTATAGCAAACCTGCATCACTAGAACAGGGTAACAAAATAACAATCTATTTTCTCTTGTGCTTTTGCACCTGTTCGTTACTTTGTTTCCAATCTAGAACAAAATGTGCAAGGTCACTACTAACTTCATGTGTTTCATGCTGAAGAAAAAGAAACCTCTCCAGACTGACCCAGATAATAATGCTGGCCTTTGAAAAACGTTTGCTTCATGTTTGTTATATCCTTACTTCTTAATGACTGCTCACAAACTGATTTGTTTTGTCTTTGTCATCCCCATGTTTTAAAAACTTTGACTTGACCCTTCCCTGCTAAGGAGTGGGGATTAGAGAAAGCAAGCTTATTTTAAAATGTTTGAGAATTGCTTGGTGCTACACCAGGGCCTACTGCGTGGTTATTATGCAGTACCTGCATCTGCGGTGGAAGGGGAGCATAACCTTAACTGCATGCAAGAAGCCTGTGGCTGGGCTCAGCTGGTACCTCTAACTACTGCAACCACACCCTGTGGCCTGAATGTAACAGGCATGCAAGGCCCCAGAACTATGGGGCAGTTGCCTTTCTCTTCCTCTAAAATGTTCTCTTGTGGCCTAATCTAATGAGAACTAGTATTTGACAAGGAGTGTACTATATCTTCTATGGAAAGAAGGTAGCAGAAATTTTGGGCTCATATTGCAGGTTTACCAAAAATGAACTGACACTTATCTGTCATGTTGGTCTGTCCTATACTTTGTCTTGACTACTTGTTCATATTTTTTCCTGGGGAGAAGATAATTTCTTATTCAGTATAACTCATAATAATGAATAGCATTATTTACTGATAACTTGCATATTTACTTGAATACAATATTTATATTAATGCAAGCATGTTCCTTTTCCTTCCTGCTTTTTAGGTATATTAGTGTTTAATTAGTATCACTACTAAGGGGCGACTAGAGAACAAAATTAAAGACACCTATGAACTCATACCAGCAGAAGATTAGGATAGAGACAGGTTATTCATGGCTTCTAAATGTTTGATGGTGTAACTCTAAATATTTAGACAACTCAGTAATACCTATACTTCACACTGCTCTGAATCTGTTTATTATGGAATGAGGCCTTTATCTCTTTCAGTTAGAACTCAGCTCATCTCATTTCTACTCAGCTCATCTCATTTCTACAGGGTTTGGCATTTTCTGTTGTAGTTTCCTAATGCTTACAAATTCAATGCCTTGCTTCAAGATATGACCTAGCAGCATTTCCTCCACTGCCTTTCTGTGTTCCCTTTCAGTCACACCAGGTGCTTTTGTCACCAGCTTCTCATAATGCCTAGACAGGAAAAATGGGGTTTTCTATCTTATGGTTATGCTCTTCACTGTTGTTGGTGTTAGAAGAGCATGGCATGATTCAGCTAGAAGAATCTTGGATAAGAGACAATGTGTGAATTCCCTCTATATATTGCACAATAAAGTCAATAGATGATTATTGATCAGGTGTCCTGTGGCTCCTGCAGTAAACTTATCCATTGCCAAGGCATCCCACCTTGTTGCAGTCTTGTTTATATATCTGCCTTTCTCTGGTATGTGGGTTCTAAAAGGTGTTAGTCATGTTCACTTGTTCACTCCTACTTACTAAATACCACTGTCCTTTACAGATAAGTTCTCAATATATACTGTTGTGAAATAATACAAGTTTCTTACTGCCTTGCTAACTCTGGTAGACTTATTTAGCAGGATTTGTAATCTTATTTCCTTTTCCTGGAAAGACTTTGAGACAGTAAAGGGACTATTAACTGGTGCACAACCCATTAATACCCAACTATCACTCTATTACAACAGCTAGCTTCATACCATGTTCCTTCCCCACCCCTACAACATCCTATACCAATGAAAGTCTTTTAATAACCTTTGGAACAGTGAGCTATTTGATGGTTCTTCATCATCCTCTGGTGCTCCGGTTCTGTAGATCATGTCTACCACCAGAACACTGCTATGGATCCAGTTAGTTCAAAGATCTAATGAACTTGCAACGGTTGTAGTTATTTTAGCTGTCACTTGTGCTGCTGTTGGTTTTGTGCTTGATCTTAGCCAAAAAGGCTGAGAAGCAATGCTGCTGTTGGTTTTGGAACGGTAGGCACACTCAGGAACATCTGTTCTAGGGTAACTCTCATATTCAGGTAGAGAAACTTGGGCCACATGCTAAACAATCTGCTGAAAGCATTACATGCTTGTCTTTTTAAACTTCAAATTGAACAGGATAATGTTAACCCATTTTAGAGTGCCTACCTTATCTTACAAATCAGGGCTGAGGAAAGTTTACTTTCTTACAATCACATGGACAGTAAGCGACAGAATTAAGAATCAGCTCCAGCGTTTTCTTAGTACACAGTTCGCATTTCCAGGTACTGTGTTCTCCTCAGTTGGTGATTGTTAACCTTTCTACTCACAACCACCCAACCAACAGGAACAAAGTGAAATCTAGTCTTTTATCTCCTAATTCCTGGTCTACTTTTATGATCTCCTTTTTATTCATTTGAACTTTCATATCAAAGTCATGACAGTAAATCAGTAAAGAGCAAGAAAATCATAATTTCACAAATAGGAAATATGAATGATGAAATTGTTTCATCCTTGAAGAAAGGATATTACAACAATTTCTTTTTCAGCAAAGGAAGGGGTTTAGGGTGTTGTCTCATAGAATAAATCATTATGAACCTGATTCGGTGAAGCAAAAATACATATTGAGAGCCTAGGAATATGCTCAGGGATATACTTCATTCCTGTCAATAGGTGCAATGCTAAAGCAAACAAAGGCTTCACACAAACGAAATAGTCAAATTGAGATAAGAACACTAGACACATGTAAAGCCCATTGTATTTGTCCTATGGAATGTTAGTGCTGGGAATTGGGGGGAAATATGCTGAGTGTGTGTCCTTGTGTTTAGGGGAGGCTTCGAGTGGTACTAGGTCATGGGTTAGGGATTTAGGGAAGCTGGATTTGTCCATCTGGGAGTCTCAACAGGGAGGAAGGGGCAGTAAAGACAAGGTTCCACAGAGCTGTGCCAAAATTAGGAGGGTAGGAAGAGTGTGAGTACTAGGCAGGTAAATCCTGGGTGCCCCCCCTTCACCCCACCAAGCTCAGTTAATGATACCATGGATCCTGAAAGTCATGAGATGCCTTGGCCTCTTAACTACCTTGTAAACACCGCCTCGTTCCCCACATACCCCCACCCCTTGTTGACTAATCGCCAACTCTGCAAATCTTCGATTTTTTTTTTTTTTAACCCTCTGCTCATTCTGCTTCCTCCCTTCATTGTCTTTCCTCATCTCCTGCCTGGATTCCTGAGATGCATTCCTAATGGATCTCCCAGTCTTGATCACCTCAGATGCACCCTTACAAATCATAGCTACAGCATTCTGATTATGTCTTACTTCTAGCACCAAATCCTTCCATAGTTTCCTGTTGCCTCTTAGCGACCAAGATCATTCTGAGCAGAGCAGATGGGGCACCCACCATCTGGAAGCTGTCTTCCACTCATAGTCCTGTAGGGTCTAAGCTTTAGCAGCTCCACATGAGTTACACTAGTTCTCAATTCATGCCTTTGTTCTAGCTGTTTACTCTGACCACTATGTCTTAAACTTTTCACCTGACCTTACTCATGTGTCAAGACTCAGTTCAGATGTAAACTCTTCTTGAGATTGTTTCCAGAGCCCCTGGTTGACTTAGTGCCCACCCTCTCAGTTGTTACATTGGTACTTACCCCTGGTATTTCTTTATCTTTTCTGTGATGTACTTCCCACCATCTTCTAAGCCCCTCAGATTCTGTCCTATTGATTTTAATATCTTAGCATGAATCCAGCAAGTAAGACTGAACACATGGTAGACACACAGGTACATTCTGACTCTAATGTGGAGAGAGAATGCCAATTCACTGACTCCCCAAATGTCTACAGCAGCCAGGGCTATGTTAGGCTGACACCAGGAGGCAGAAGCTCAATCTAGGTCTCCCACATGGGTGGCAGGAACCCACGAATTTGAGCCACCCCCTGCCTTCCACGTACACCTTTGCAGGAACCTGGAATCAAGAACTTGGCTGAAGTTTGAACCTGGGTACTCTGATGTAGGATGTGGTCATCGTAACTGATATACCAAATGCCCACCTTTAATGTAACTCTTGATTGAAGATGGTGGCCATGTCTTAATCATCTGAACTCCCAGTGCTGAGAGGGCCTAGCATGAGGTAGCTAGACTGAAGGAAATTTCTTCTCTCCTTTTTATACATACAGGTAGATGAAGTCAATGAATAAGCAGTCAGACAGGCAGATCTTAGAAGGTCATATTGCATTTGGAGAACCTAAACTTCTAACAACTTAAAGAAGCCATTTATTTGGAAGATTCCTCGGGCACTTCTCACTGTCCATGAATTTTTCCAAATAAGACAACGTTAATATGTAGACAGGGGAAATATTTTTCCTCAGGAGATGGCTGCTTCTGGGCACACGGTTCCAGCAGGGCTACAATTTTGATGTGACAGCCTGGACAGATGCCCTTATTTCTCCTGAGAGTCCCTGAGAGAGCTACCAACCAAGAGCTACCTCTCTAGCCCAGAAGATACAAGTATTGGATTCTACTTCTAGAAAATGACCTCTCAGGGGCCAAGAGAAATCTGCATCTACCTTCCAACCAACTAATGCAGCTTACTGTGTTACTGTCCCTAAGTTGCTCAGTGAGCTGTTAGTGAGGCTTCCTTGTTCCAGTCCTTTGCTGCTGTTTCTCACACAGCAGCAATAGTATGCAATTTTCCCATCGTCTTTAAACACAAACATGGAAAGGTATCACTTTGCATTTTACGTTGTAAGTGAATACCAATATAGTAGTATTCCATCTTCAAATCAATTATACTTCCTAATTACTCTACTAATTGTTCATAAATAATGCCTTGATGGACCGCACATTCCAGTTATACTTTTCATGAAATCTGCTTGTTATCTCCTTTTCCTTCAAGCAAAGACCCCTGCCATGTGTATGTCCTGTGCTTTCTTCAGGGTTTGGCTTTTGCCATCCTTTACCTTCCTCCATTCATCCCCTTTTTTGATTTTCATCATCATTACCTAACTTTACAATTTACACTGTATTGTATCACACTCACATGGGCCTCTTTTGGCCCTTTTGGTTAAGCTTTGTTCTCTGGGTATATTATTTGCTGTCTTAATCTTTCCGTTTAATTGTCTCTTCTCAGGGCAAGACTACTTCCTCTTTGACTAATGCTAGGATTAAGAAATCCTCTTGCAAAGGACATTTCTCAATGTGAAGATTTTATCACCTACTGGTCTACTGCCTTTTTACTTCCCCCAGTGTAGGGTGATCAGTTACACCTGACCAAAGCAGAAAATTCAGGGAGAAGTTTGAAGGACCCATACTCCAACCTTAACAACTCACTGTAAAGTTCTGTAAGTCAGACTTGCTTTTGAGTTTTAAGTACTTCAATTTTAGAATCAAATTGTTAGAATGAAATAGTTTTTACATTTATACTGTCTTAATTCATCATATTGTTATTGGGAGCTAGGATGTGATCTCATTCCTGGAAAGCATTCAACAAAGTGAAGCAAGATGCATTTTCAAAGAAGCTAAAATAGCACAGATAAGAGAACCTGTGAATATTGAGAAACAAAACTCGCTGTCTTGTGTACAAGTGCTTTCACTTTCATAGAACGTTAGAGAAAATTGGTAGAAAGAATATGGAATAAAGAAGACATTTCTCCTTTTAGTAATCAATTTTACTTTATGTTCTGTTTGTGTGTGCTGTGAAGTGTCACAGGAATTCCTAACACTTGGATTGTACTGTATAGTAAGTGGTTTTCACATTAGTTATTTCATAATGAATCGGGCATTCAGGTTAAGTGGAAGAAGGCTCGCTTTAATAGTACATTGACCTATGTAGATTTTTAAAAATATATCATACCTTTTCTGTTTTTCAGGTTCTTGAGTCTTGAAACAAATGGAGAAAAATGATTTAATATTTGGGAATGTTGTCTCTTCACTGACTGCTGCTACTGCCTGGGATTCATTTACAACTCGATAGATCTGGAATAGTTCATCTGTATTTTCTGGAGCAGCACAGTCCTGCACTGCCTCTGGTGCACATTCTCTTGGTATTGGTCTCATGCTACAGGAAGGACCATGGCAACCTCCAGGGCAGCCTCAAGGTCACCTCGGGACATTGCCAATGTGATGCAGAGGTTGCAAGGTAAGGGACAGAGATGTCGGGTTTCTTTTTAAATTATAATACCAATCAAACTCTGAATGCGTTAAAGTTGGATTATCAAAGAATAGAATGGACAACTTTAATTCCAGTGCCTTCAAATGAGTCTATGCTGTCTTTATTCATTGCCCAGTTAGAAAATAAGATTGGTAGAACTGAGTTCTACAAGTCTGTCCAGAGACCAACAAATTAGACAAGACCTTCTGTAGTTAAGTAGGTCCCACTTGTGTTCATCTGCCTGGGCTGGTATGTGATGCTTCATTGAGAGTGGTCCTTGTTGCCTGCTCGCTGTTGGACAATCCACTTGTCATGCTTTAGAAGTTCTAGTCAGACAAGTTAGACAAAATAACACGAATAAATAGATCTTTGCAATGGGCTAAAAAACTGATGTTCCCCTCTCCCTTGCTGCCAAAAGGAGCTTGGATCTAGGTTGTATATTCTTAGGTAGATGGGACCCTGAGTTTGGAGCTGTGTTCCTCCATTGGCCATGCTGTTTGTCTGTGGACAAATTACTGAACTGTTCTGTGCTTCCATGATATCACCTACTGAATAATGGCAAAGTAGCCTACAGTTCCCTTAGAAAAGTGTAGACAAGATAGGTCATGTGCAGATTTTGCTTTGCATCTACTAAGTGTGAAACTTTCTGGATGAGATATTGACAATAAAGAAGTTTTAAAGAACAAATCTGAAAGGATGCATTAGATTGTGATCTCATAAACACTGTTCATTCTGATCATGGTTTGATGGCGATCCTTTCGTGAGAGCAATGGTTAGCAGTGAGAAGGGTCACAAGTACTGATGACCCAGTGTACAGTGGATGTAGAAGTAGCTCTTGAGTGATGCGTGGAATGGTACTAACAGCTGTGACTCCATCTCCGTCTTGCACCAGGTCCATGATAGTGGATGCCCTACTTAACACTTCTGTGTCTAGCTGCCTCCTTTGCAAAACATGGGCTGTTTCCATTTGGCTTAGCTCCTCAGTAAGGATTGTTGTGAAGCTAAAGTATGAATGCTATGATAGGGTGAACTGTCTAAATAATCTTGGAACAAAATTGGATGAGAAGGCACAACCTGATATTTTGTTAAATATTTGTTGCAGACTCTTCTAATCATCCAGAGTTTGAGAGGAATATTAATGGCTTTTTATATTGTGTTGTATAAAATTATCAATTTTATGACATAATGATGTGACTGTACTTTATTTTTCCTTTCTACAAAATAGTTAAGCCATGCCATAAGCATACCTGACCAGGAAGTAGAATTCCTCAGCACTAGGTCTTTATCATTAGACCTTAGCATCAATTGCTTCATGTGTACATTATTGCTGCCTACAGTATATAAGGTCTGCACAACCAGTAATATAATATTTCTTGGTATTATATTATTGGAACCAACGTAAAAAGGCAGGAAGTGAAACTGGCCTGCTAGGTATTTCTGGTATCCAATTTATCTGGATGAATTCTACTGATGTAGCTGGCAAGGTGTGTGCCTCCTGCTCTGTTTTCATTGCATAACCTTACGGCTGCTTTAAGCTTAAACAGGGGCTACAGTCTGTCTTTGGTCACCATGTTTAGGAACGCTACTTACCTGCTGGTCCCTCCAAACAAATGACCAAGGTCCCATTAAATAGAGGGCTAGCATTACTGCCAAATAACTAGGCCAAACAAAGATTTATTTGAAGAGAGAAATTTCTATTAAACAAACTGGGGTTGCTATTTTCAAAGTTAAATCTGAGAACATTGTTCTAGGTTCTTCTTTCATCTTGTTTTTGCATGAATAGATAATTAGTGTGTTTTTTCTTGCTGGTTTTTTTCCTCTTGGGTTGAACTGTCAGACTTATTCATAACTAATGAAGAACATGTAGCCTTGAATAATGTGATCCTGACTTTACTACCTTGCTTATTTAGTAATTGTTCATTATTTTTCTGTTAATTTTTATTTCTACTGCTAGGAAATCAAAGTTCACACACAGATTGCTACATAATTTAGCTACTACTGTAGCAGTTCAATATTTCACCTTTGCCAATATTGTGCTTGTTTGAGCATAATGTTTTAGGCTTGGATTCTGAATTATGGATGAGCAGTCAGACTGCAATGCAGTTTCATTTGCTCTTAGGATAATGAATATTTCTGTAGTCAAATATAAGCTTAAAAGCAAATACAGTAAAATAGTACAATATAGCTGTATTAAAACTTTAAGTGCATGTAATACATTTTTGCTTTAAGAGATTTATTTTGCAAGAGTTACAGAAAGAGGGAGAGAGGTATCCTCCAACTGCTGTTTAACTTCCCAAAGGGCTATAACAGCCAGAGCTGGGTCAGGCTGAAGCCAGAAGCCTGGAACTCCATTCGGGTGTCTCACAGTTGGCAGGGGCCCAAGCTTTGGATGTTTTCTGCTGCTTTCCTAGGCTCATTAGCAGGCACTGCATGGGAAATGGAGCAACCAGGACAGGAACCAGTGCCCATATGGGATGGTAACATTGCAGGAGGCAGTTTAACCTCCTGTGCTACAACACAGGCCCTGCAGCTTTTGCTTTTTTTATATATTTTCTTGAGAGGTAAAGTTAGACAGAAAGGTCTTCCATCTGCTGGTTCACTCGCCAAATGGCTGCAACAGCTGGAGCTGGACCTATCCAGAGCCAGGAGCTTCTTCCAGGTCTCCCATGCAGGTGCAGGGTACAAGTGCTTGGGCCATCTTCTATTTACTTCCTAGGCCATAGAGAACTGGATCAGAAGAGGAGCAGCTGGGACTAGAATTGGCACTCATATGGGATGTCAGTGCTGCAGGTGGAGGCTTAGCCCAATATGTCAGATGGCCCCCAGCTTTTTTTTTTTAAAGGTTAACTATAGCCATCCGTTTAGCAAGTGGTGTCTACAATTAATTTAGTTTATAATACATCAAAGAACAAACTCTTCAGATCATACATTGTAAGACAGTGACAATGTTAGATTATTTTTGTAGTTTTACATATTCTGCCCAACACTTGCTGAAAATATTTTTAATTTAGTTGAAAGTCACAGTGAAAGGGAGAGAGGAAGGGAGAGAGATCTTCCCATCCAAGTATTCACTCCCCAAGAAGCCACAAAGGCCAGGGCTGGGCCAGACTGGAAAAAGCCAGGAACCCAGAAATCCATGTGTGTCTTCCATGCTGTGCATCAGAATTCTGAGTAGTTGGACGTCAGCTGCTACTCTCTGGGGTGCATTAGCAGGAAGTGGATATGCAACAGAGCAATGAGGCTCGAACCAGCATCCCAATACCACAATTGCTCGGCCAGAATACCAAGTCCAAAATGTGTATTTTGACTTATTCCATAGACTACATTTTTCATTAGAAGTTAATATATTAAATGTTTTTTGAGTTAATATACCTGTTCTTTATTGTAAGAGATGGTAACACTAGTGCAATTCTATAGAGTAAGTAGTAAATGTCAGAAAAGCTTCAGATGGATGTGTTAGTCAGACTCATTGCTCTGACCATGTATCTGAGGCAGGCTGACTTTGTACAGAAAATAGATTCATTTAGCTCATGGTTTGGGAGACTGGAACGGCACAGTGCAGGCTCTGGCAAGGATCCCATGGCAGATAATGCGAGCACACAGGAGAAGGTCAAAGCTCAACACAGGACGTTGGAGGGCCTGAGTGGGGCTTTCCTGAGAACCACAAGGAGTTGCACAAAAATCCCTTTCGGAGGGCATGGTCCAAACTGACCTAAGGACCTCACACTAGGCTCACTGCTATAATTGTCCTACCTCCCAACGTCGCCACACTGAAGAGCAAATGTCTAACACATGGGCCTTTGGGGCGCAAACCACATCTAACCCATAGCAGATACTAGAGTGCTAAAATGGGTGGGAAGACATTTGGTCTACAGGTTAAGACAGATTAGGAAGCCTGTATCCCACACCAGAGGGCCTGAGTTTGCTTCCCTTCTCCAACTCCTGACTCATTTTCTGCCAAGATAGACTGGAAGGCAGCAGTAACGGTTGAAGTGATCGGGTCCCTGCCACCCACACGGAAGACTCAGCTACTGCATTTCGGAATGAACCCCTGAATAATGCTGTCTGTTCCTCTTTTTTTTTTTTTTTTTTTTACAGGCAGAGTGGACAGTGAGAGAGAAAGGTCTTCCTTTGCCGTTGGTTCACCCCCAATGGCCGCCACGGCCGGCACACTGCAGCCGGCGCACCGCGCTGATCTGATGGCAGGAGCCAGGTACTTCTCCTGGTCTCCCATGGGGTGCAGGGCCCAAGTACTTGGGCCATCCTCCACTGCACTCCCTGGCCACAGCAGAGAGCTGGCCTGGAAGAGGGGCAACCGGAACAGAATTCGGCACCCCGACTGGGACTAGAACCCGGTGCTCTCATTCTCTTACTTTCAAACAAATGTTAGAGTGGTTTACTTAAAAATATAATTACTCATTGCAAGCAAAAGTTGATTTCTAGACCTTGTGCATATATTCAGAAAGAAACAAATGAAGAAAAAGTTACAACATTTTTCTCCTTAGAGACAGCTATGTTTTCTAACCTTTCAGTGCAAAATGATCATGGCCTCTACAATATTTTTACTACCCATTTCAAATCATTTTGGTTAAACGTTTATTTTCCTATGTTCATACACCATATTAAGGAAAACCTGAAACCAACAAAAGTTGACTGAAAAGTAGAAAAATAACAGTAAAAGTAATTTGGCATCTTTATTTTTGTAGTGGTTTGAGAGATTAAGTTTTATGACTCTTATAAAACCATAATACATTAAAAAGCCACATTCACTTATTTAGGCTGAACTTCTGTTAAGATCTTTATTTCTACATGGATGTTGTATGATAGCATCTCAAATTTAAATATGTAAGATGTTTTCATATTGAAGCATCATAGTTAAATATTTGGTAAACAATCGAAGAAACTAATGAAGATAAAACTAATCAAGACATGTAAAAAGCCAGCGCTCTAGCACAGGAGGATAATCCTCCGCCTGTGGTGCTGGCATC